AAGTTGCAAGCCCAAGCAGGGCATTTAAGTTTGAGTAAACTGATGGCAGACAATTTTAGATAGATTTCCTCCACCCATTCTGCACTCTTGACCTCAGAACCAAGAGGATTATCTGTTTTTAACTGTGATGTTAGATTGGTATTTTTAAAGTGAATTTTATAAATCTCAGGAAATTTCTGTTATGGTTCCTTGTAGCTGGTTGATTTTTTTACTCAGCCTGCAGTTACCACTATTTATTATCCATTTTTCCATTCTTGTTTTGAACTCCCGGCATATAGTATAACCCTTTACACAGAGACCAACTTTAATGTAAATGAGTTCTGGTAGCCATGGTGGAGAGGTATAAAAATATGTCAATTTGGCTTCCAAATGTTCTTGAAGTTATGTGTATTTTAAATGGGAAACTAGCCACTTTTAGATACATTTTCTTTTCTTTTTTTTTTAAAGGACACTGTTTTTATGTTATAGCGTCTAGTATCTGCATTGGGACAAAGGAATGATTGGCATTTCAAATACATATAAATCAAACTAAGGAAGTGATAGCCTGAAGTAACTGAAGAAAATATAAATGATCATGCCTTGTTGCTTCAATTCTTTTAGACGAAGCACTGTAGAAAGGTTCATCGTCATTGTACTCATCAAAAACTCCCCAGCGGAGATGGGCCCATTCATGGACAAGTAGTCTGTCTGTGGGAAAATATTTCAAATATATGATCATAATTCAAGTGACAAAATTTGCCCTTCAAATATTTTAAGCAATGGGTTTTTAAATAAAAAATAATTATACTTAGGTTTTAAATAACTGCCAATATTTATATTTTGTTTGTAAAAAAGCATATAACATTATATTGAATTATAATATGGTATATAGTATGTTATCTTTTTACTCTATAACGTTAAATCAACGAAACTTTTTTTGTGTATGTATTTATGTATATGCTATGGACAGAATGGACTGGGCTTTAGGTTTTGGTAATGGGGGTGGGGAACAAAAAGTCTTACATATTACAATGGTTTTATGGTTCTACAAAGTTCACTCCTACTAACAACATAAACAGATATATAAAATTTGTGGTACTAAAATTTCATGAGGGCACAATTAAATGTTTAAAAATGTCCACAAATGTTCCTAAGGCATTTGATAATGAAAAATAAAATCTATAGCTATAGATTATATATAATATTGAGGCTATCTAAATGAAGTGATTAATTTATTATATGAAATTAAGTTTTATTAATTATATTTTCAACACTATACTAGGTACTAGGAAATATAAAGATGAGTAGGATCTTTACTATGAGTATTCCTTTACTAGAATAGACTTAGAAGGAGTCAGAATAAAAAAAATGTTTTCTAATAATTTCAGAATAAATGGAAGAATCAAGGTACACCCATAGCTTGAAATGCAGAAAGAAAAAATGAGTAGACTTTTTGCTTTATCAATATTAGGAAAAACTTCAAAGGAAATAGAAATGGAGAAGGAAAAGATGGAAATATAGTTTGTTCTGCTACCATGTGTTTCTCTAACTCAAATGAACTCATAAGATCCAAAAATTAGAGGAAAATGTCAGTATTATGCAAAAGTCATTTTTCTTCTTTAAGTCCTTGCTACTCAAAATGTTTTCCTTGACCCACCAGTATCAGCTTCATGGGGGAGCTAACAAAATGCACAATCTTGGGTCTACTCTAGATCTACTTAATCAGAAACTGGTCCCTAAGTTATTCTTCTACATTTTAAACTTTAAAAGCACTGGTGTAAGATTTTCTAAGCAACTGGAGTCAGATTAGTGATTTTGGAATTATATATAACCTTCAGTATAGGAGGGGAAAAAACTCCTCATTTCACTTAAATTCCTCAGATCATAAAAATTTGGTGAATTTTAAGAAAACATAAAATTGCCTGCACCTGTGGCTTCCTTTTTACAGTGTTGTACTCTTACACTTGCTTTCTTCACAGCTCATGGCAGGTTGCCCTGCCTCCCAAGCCCACCTTAATTTGTTAAGAAAGTAGAGTTCAGATCTCACCACACACACACACACACACACACACACACACACACACGCGTAACTATATGAGGAGATGTTATGCTACTTAGCTTGACTATAGTATTAATTTCACCATTCATTATGTATACGTATAGCAAATAAACATGTTGTATACCTTGAATGTATATAATTTTTTATTGCAAGAAAAGCATCAGCTCGAACAGAATTTCGTTCACATCTATATCATTTTCTCAATTGCTACTAGCCCTGTTCTCATTTCTAATAGCATTTCACTCTATGTGTGTGCTTGTATCTGTACTTTTAATATCTACTATGATGGCAGCTTCCAGCCAAACTGAGCTATGGCCAAGATTGTTTAAATGTTCTTTCCAGGTACTTATTGTTATTGTTGTTACTATATTTATTATAAATTGCATATATTTTGAGGACTCTCTTCGTAATGTTGTTGTTCAAGAGCCATGTTGTTTTTAGAACATTGTTTTTCAGCATGTGAGTTTTTCACAAACACACGTATCACATTATAGGAAAAGCTCCTGTCTAAGAGCAAGGGGGAAAGCTACCCATTATAGAACAGGGCTGAGATGGGGATATTATAAAAGAGCAAGAGCTCAAATGGGGATGTTAGCTTTAAAATTAGAGAAAATCCTTCTTGTCTAATATAGGTGCAGTTAGACATGAATTTGGAAGTGGAGGAAAAGATAGGGGTTCCATTTCTCAATCAAGGCATCTGTTGATTGATGGGATTGAAAAAAAGTGGCTACAGATCTTGAGAAAAATGGTGCAAGTTTTAGAACAGCTGCTTAGGAATAAGAAAGGGAGTTGAGAAGATGCAAGTACAACATTATTGAGTAGCTGTGAGGACTTCACTAAGTTTGAAAAATGTATTTTTGTAATGATACCGATTAGCTTTGTAATTTTCTTTCACAATCTTGAAAACATTAACAGGAGCAAAAGAAAACTAGCTGGAAATTTAGTAGAGAGGATTTGGCAAATTGAATGAAACATAAGGATTAAAGTGGTGAGGGAATTGAGCTATTTACACTTCACTGGACCTCCCATGTAAAGAAAAAATTATAGTTAGAAGGAAGCAAACGTTAGAGGTGCCAAGAGGAAGAAATGTGATTAGACTAAAGTATGAGGAGAGTTAAAATTCAGATGGCATGAGATGATGGAGCTTTCAAGACTGGTTGGGAAACAGGTAATGAGAACCAGGGTTGAGTGTTTGACAAAAACAAGGGACTTAATGAATGCTCATTGAAGAGACAGTGGAAGAGAGGTGATCTTGGGCTATGTGGGTTCAGGAATGTTTTCCTGTGTAGTGACATGTGAAACGATGCGCTTTAAGTTCATTTGAACCAATGACCTTAACTTTTAGACTGAACTAGATGAAATTACCGTTTTTTATAGGTAAAAATGATCACTAACAGACAAGTACATCTAGTTCAACCAAATAGGTTGAATAATAGTATAGCAATTACAGCCCCTGAGTGTTTTATCTTGGCCAGGAACTATAATCTTGTCTCTTTTCAGCTTTTCACACATCTGCCTTCCATTAAGGTGGCATGTGATTAATATCCAGCTGTGGAGAACTGGAATATTAAGATTTGAAAAGTATCCTTAATAAAAATATTTATTGTTATTGCTGTGTTCAAATTTCTGTAGACACTCTACTGAGAACAGTTGCATGGATTACCTAATTTAATATTCACAACAATTCTATACAGTAGTAGATCCTCTATTCACAATTTTACAGGAAATAAGCACAGAGAGTCTAGCTCACTTGTCCAAGGTCACATAGAGCTGATAAATAGGGGAGCCAGGATTTGAACCTATAGATTCTGGCTCTAGGGTTTGTGCATTTAAGTTGGGTACACATCTGCTTATTGGAATCACTGCAAAATATATATTAATCTAATTCTTACCTGGTGGTCCATATTCATTTTGTTTTTTTCCAAGTACAACGTCAGGGGTGAAATGAATGTATTCTCCTTTTTCTTCAGAGTTTAAAATGCTTGGTGTATGGTTCATCTCTATCTGGTAGGGTAGGTGGTGCAACTAAAACATCAGCCTGAGAATGTTTAAAAAGTTTTTTAAAACATCAGAAATAGAAATGATAACATTTAGTCAGAAAAACTCTAAAACAATCAATTTGCAGTTCAGTGGATGAGCACCAGAAAATACAATATTTTAAGAGACTTGGTTTTACTCTTACATGTGTGTAGCTTTCATGTTTTGGTCTCTTGTATTGAGGCTTTTCCTCCCAAGTATCAGGAATTAATATTGATACATTTTTGAAAAAAAATCTTCTTTCTGTGGCTTCAAATAGGTAAGTAGAAGCTGCAGTCACCATGTCCTGTTATAAAAGAATATATGGCAGTGAACTGAATGAGCAGAAATTCATTACAGGCGTTTCTCCGATCAAGAGTGGATAGAAAAAGCCACTGACAATTGAGCAGAGTCTTTGCCTCAGAATTCCAACCCTGCTACCTTTCAGTCGAAAATTATAGCTTAATCCTGCAGATTTCAAGGTTTTGGGTATAATTCTGCATCAAAAGGCAAATGCTTCTATTTGGTGTTAAGAGAAATTGCATACCATGATAGACCTTAGAGTCATCTACTTGGCTCCAATGCTGGCGTTAGCGCTTTCTGGGTGATAGATTTTGGCCCACTTATATAATGCTCTGAACCTTAGTTTCCTTATCTCTTAAATAGACTATTACTACCTATCTTTAAGGTTGGCATAAGCATGAAGCAAGTGATCTACACATAGTCATAAAACTGTTGATACCATTACTGTTTATAAATCTAGTAGAGAATAGCCTTATTTGATGCACGTTTAGAACTATACTGATATTTGCTTCAAAGAAGGATCTTGTCCTCTGTGATGCTCCTGACCTAGCATAAGCCCAGAATAGCACTGTCCTTCTTCAGGAATTCCATGGCGCTATTTTCTTTTCTGTTGAAGACAGGCCAGGGTGCTGACTCATATGTACTGAAAAGAATAGCAAACTGATTGGATTCAGAGCCATGAGTTCAGAGAACTGAAGGCCCAGAGGACTAGCTGGGAGTCAGGAAAAGAGCTTTGAAGAGCTCCTGTGGTAGGTGGGAGTTTACCTCATCACTAGCCTAAAGCAGATGAAAGAATTCTCTACCTGTTCCCTAAGGGTACCGCCCCCCCCCTTCCTTGTGTTTTGGAATATTTAGGTCTCAATGGATTGTTATCTTCTGCTTGAAGTGATGGCTCTCTCTTGTGGCTATGAGATAAAAATGTAAGTGGTGGTTTAACTCACCAGGAAGAAAAGGGAGAGGACTGAAATAAAACCAGAGTGAAAGAGGAAATGTTACAACTGATACCACAGAAATACAATGGATTATATGAGACAATTAAATGCCAACAAATTGGACAACCTAAAAGAAATGGAAACAATTCCTAGAAATATACAACATGCAAAGACTGAATCATGAAGAAATAGAAAATCTGAACAGACCAATTACTAGTAAGGAGATTGAATCAGTAATCACTCCCCTGCCCAAAAGCCCAAGACCAGACAGCTTTACTGGCAAATTATATCAAACATTCAAAGAAGAATTGGAGGAAGGAACACTTCCAAACTCATTTTATGAGGCCGGCATTATTTTGGTACTGAAACCAGATAAAGATGACACAAGAAAAGAAAGTCACAGGCTAATACCCCTAATGAATATGGATGTAAAAATTCTCTATGACACTCTAATAAACTATTAGCAAACTGAATTCAACTATACATTAAAATGATCATACACCATGATCAATTGGGATTTATTCCAGGGATACAAGAATGGTCTGACATTTGAAAATCAAATAACATGATATACCTGATTAACAAAATGAAGAATAAGAATCATATCATATCAATAGATGCAGATAAAGCATTTGACAAAATTCAACACCCATTTGTGATAAAACTCCCCAGAAAGTGGGTATAGAAGGAATGTGCCTCAAAATAATAAAGGCCATGTATGACAAGTCCACAGCTAAAATAAGTCTTAATGGTGAAAAAATAAAAGCTTTCCCTCTAAGGGGAGGAACAAGACAAGGATGCCCACTCTTGCCACAGTATTGGAAGTCCTAGCCAGTTAGGCCAGAAAAAGAAATAAAAGACATCAAAATCAGAAAGACACAAAGAAAACTATCACTACTTTTAGATGGCCTGAAATAAGATATGGGAGCCAAAAAAATACACAAAACAAACCAAAACAAAACAAAAAACAACCCACAAAAAACTTGTTGGAACTCATAAATGGATTCAGTAAAGTTATAGAATATAAAATCAATATAAAGTATATGTTTCATTTATATACACTAATAACGAGCTATCAGAAGGAGCAATTAAGATAATCCCATTTATAGTTGCATCAGAAAGAATAAAATGCCTAGGAATAATTTTAACCAAGGAGGTGAAATTTCTGTACACTTAAAGCTATAAGACATTGATTAAAGAAATCTAAATGGTAGAAATAAATGGAAAGCTATTCCTTCCTCATGGATTAGAAGAATCAATAGTGTTAACATGTTTATACTAGCCGATACAATATACAGATTCAATTCAATCCCTATGAAAAATGCCTTTTTTTCCCACAGAAATAGAACAACTAATCCTAAAATTCTTGTGAAAACACAAAAGATCCCGAATAGCCAAAGCAATTTGAAAGAACAAAGCTGGAATCATCACACTTCCTGATTTCAAACTATACTACATAACAGTAGTAATAAAAATGTATGGTATTGGCATAAAAGCAGACACATAGTTCAATGGTAAAGAATCAGAAGTCCAGAAATAAATCCGCACATATATTATCAATTAATTTATGACCAGGAGCCAAGAATATACACTTGTGCCAGGACCATCTTTTCAATAATTGGTGTTGTGGCCCACCAGGAGTGGCTCAGTTGGTTAAGCATTGTCCTGTGCACCAAAAGGTTGCTGGTTTGTTCAATCCCAGGTCAGGGGTCAGGGTATATACAGAAAGCAACTGATCAATGTTTCTCACATCGATATTTCTCTCTCTCTCTCCATTCCTCTCTCTAAAAATGTCCTCGGGTAAGGATTTAAAAAGTACTTTTGTTTTAATTTAAAAAGAATTGTGTTGGGAAAACTGGGCATATCCATATGAAAGAATGATACTCAACCACTATCTTACACTATATACAAAAACTAACTCAAAATGCATTAAAGATCTGAAACTATAGAAATCCTAGAAGAAAACATAAGCTCTCTGACATTGGTCTTGGCAATGATTTTTTTTTTTTACATCAAAAAGCAAAGGTAATAGCAACACATAAAAACAAACCCAAGCAAAGAAACAAAAAACAAACTAGTTGAAAAATAGGCACAGGATCTGAAGAGACATTTTTCAAAAGAATACATACAAATGGCCACCTGGTACATAAAAAGTTGCTCAATATCACTATCATCAGGGAAATGCAAAGTAGGACCACAAAGAGGCATTACCTCACCCCTATAAGAATGACTGTCATAAAAAGATAAGAAATAATAAGTGTTGGCAAGGATGTGGAGAAAAGGGAACCCTTGTGCACTGTTGATTGAAATGTAAGTTGGTGCAGCCACTATGAAAAGCAGTATGGAGGTTCCTGAAAAAACTTAAGAATAGAACTAACATTTGATAGAGAAATTCCACTACTGGTTATTTATTAGAAGTAAATAAAAACACTAATTTGAAAAGATATATGTACCCCTATATTTATTGCATCATTATTTACAGTGGCCAAGACATGGAAGCAACCTAAGTGCCCATATATGGATGAATGGATAAAGAAGATGTGGTATATATAAACAGTGGAATATTATTAAGCCACTAAAAAGAAGGAAATCCTGCCATTTCTAGCAACATGGATGGACCTCGAGGGTATTATGCCTAAAATAAATCAGAGAAGGACAAATATGGTACAATCTCACTTATATGTGGAATAAAAAAAGAAGAACAGCAACAAAAACTGAGCTCATAGGTACAGAGATTAAATTGGTAGTTTTCAGATGGTTTTGGGTGGGATAGGTGGTTCAATGGGTGAAGGGGTTCAAAAGTTACAAAGTTGTAATTATTAATAAGTCATGGTAATAAAATGCAAAGCTTGGTGACTATCCTATCTAATAATAGACAAACATGGTAATCAACCATACCTCTGCTACGCTTCCCATAGGCTAATCAGCAGGATATGCAAATTTACTACGAACAAATATGGCGGCCAGCAGCCACACAGCTGAAGCAAACATGAGGCTTGCTTCTTCCAGTGATGGAGGAAGCCAAGGTTCCCCGCCTGCCGTGGCCCAGCTCTGAGCTCCGGATGCAACAATGTTGCAACTATAGAAGCTAAACAAACCCCAGATACACGCTTTCAGCC